TCCGCCTCCCCCTCCCCCCGCCCCTTCCTACCGCCTCCACCGCGGCTCACCGCGCATGGCCCGGCCACAGCCTGATCCGGGGCGCTCGACCACCGGCCCTGGCCGCGCCCCGCCCCGCAGCGGTCCGCACCGTCTACTGTGCGCCGCCGTCCGGCCGCGGCGCGTGGCCCGGCGGCGCCACACTGCCGGGGTCCGACGTGCGCGAGCACTCGAGCACGGGGCTGAGCGCCGGCTGCTCGACCGCCGCCGCCGGCAGGTGGCTCTCGACCGCCGAGTCCTGCGACGACTTGCGACCACCGCGGATGGACGACATCTCGAGCAGCGTGTTGGCGCTGCGCGGCTGCGTCAGCCCGCTGCGCGAGCCGTCCGACAGCTGCGGCAGCAGGTGGCGCGAGCGCGTGGCGCGACCGCCGCTGCCGCGTGACACCGGTGGCCGACACAGCGAACGGCGCCCCAGTAGCCGCAGCAGCTCCTGCCGGAACTGCTTGGTGAAGATGGCGTACAGGTAAGGATTGGCGCACGCGTTCAGCGGGTAGAAAAAGACCAGCAGGATCTTGGAGTTGGTGACGCTGATGAGTGGCACGCCCATGATGGCCGTGACGCCGAAGAACGCGATCGGCGCCCAGCACGCGAAGTCAGTGAAGACGAGCAGCGCCATCCGCTTCGCCACCTGGAAAAGCGGCGAAGTGCGAGCAGCTCTCGAAGCGTTGGAGGAGCATTCCACCGGTGACCCCCACAAACCACTCCCTCGATCATTGTTATCGCAGTCCACCGTTTACTGCAGGTCCGTGCTGTGTCTTGGGACTCAATGTTTCGTTCAACACCTTAGGTCATGTAGCGTCGAAATATCGCATGATGGCATCCGCGACGAGGGAGGAGAGGGAGGGGGAGGAGAGAGCACAGACCCAATGTATCGAATGACTCTTGGGCACACGGTACAATGTCAGTCCCTATTTAGGCAGATACGTGATTTGAATGACTTATGAAGATGCGCAGCTGGAAACGGCATGTATGCGGCATGAGGTAGCATAAACACGAGCATCACCAAAACTGCCAGCCACTGCGTTCACCCAGCCGACCACGTGACCAACCTTCAGGTCGTTAGGCCGCACCAGGCCCCTCTCCACGTGTGAAATGCTGCAGTACATCCTCAGGTAGAACCAGGAGATGAGCAGGAAGGCCGCCCCGTTGCCGAGCAGCAGCAGCAGCAGGAATGCGATGCCGGCCCTGTCCGTCGCGTCCCGCGCCATCGGCAGGCATATGCTGCGGAGCAGACGGTCGCGAGGCAGCCAGTCACCTCAGGTACATCCTCAGACAGCCGTTGAAGCCGTACAGGTATCTAAAACGAGTCGGCTATGGTGGATGGCTCTGTCACATTGACGCATTGCAATGTGTGTTTTGAACGGTGTCCGCAGTGGCTTCCCCACAGCAGACTGTCCCATCGGCCCTCTTTCAAGCCCGTCGAGGCCAGTTCTCCCGGGCAATCTCTCATGGTCGTTTCTCGGGACACCCTCCCAATCCTGACGAGATTATCATCAGGGGAGAAATGGCCGGTTGCTTAGCGACTTCGGTTTCCACGTGGGGGCCCCAAGTTCAAATCTAGGTTGTGCCAAGGTTCCTGGGGGCTTATACGATCCTGCAATTGCTGGTGCTCCATACAAGTGTGCGCAGCGATGTACGTCGGTTCCACTTGAAAACTATCAGGGACGTAGCCTCAAGCCATCTCATTGGGTCTCCTTCTCGTGGCTGCCACGACGCAGTCCCAATATTGTCTCCCTGGGCTATCCTTTAAGACCTTCCGAAATGACTCCGGACAGTCTCTCCGGGCGGTCCTCTAACACTCCTTTGAATACAGCCTCATGCACGTCTCCCCGGTGCGTCTTCTCGGAACCACCTGGCAGGCACGCCGACATCAGCCTCCTTGGGTCGTCTTCTTGGGTAATCATCTCAAACCTGTGAAGGCCTTATTCATTACGTCTCCCCAGGTCTTGCCGATGACATAGCTTCTCGGGTCCTTGGGGATTCCGCATTTCCCTGTGCAACATCTCTCACCCACGCAAAGCGAAATTGCGCGAGCACCTAACTTGAATCACGTTAAAAAACGCAAGCAACCTTGGTGAAAGTACTAAACTTAAAGGAAAACCACCAAATCGAAAGTACGAAAACCAAATGAACGGTACGAAACCAATCAAACACAGGCGGATTCCATTAATTCCCATCGATTCGTGCCTCTCATTCTAAGCTTCCAGACCCTTAACAGATGCACCCGCACGCAATTACTGCATACGTAAATGGTTTAAAATCCAAGGTTAATTTCCCTTGCCCAACCCACGATCCGTGCGGTCTTAGCCATAACCACCCTCTTCCAATCGCCCAGCAATGCTGCGCACGAGTTAATCGCTCTTTTTAGAGTTGCCAACATTTTCGCTGCAAGTTGTAATAAATAAAGCTGACAAAGTTTCGCTGCTGCGATTGCCGCTTTTGGTTGAACAACCCAACAACAAATATCACGTGAGATTATGTTATTGCAAGGAAACAACAAAAGAGAAAATGGCACCGTTTCGCGAAACCTCTTGCATGACCGCATACCACCCGTCATCTTCTCCAACGCGGCCCATTGTCCGTTCCATGGGTTACCAACGCGCTCACGCAGCCGCAAGGACATAAATGGTGCGATTGAACCCAGTGGGGTTTGCTACACGCCTTCCATTGCTCTTGCTCAGGGCTAGCTGGAAATGGTTTTACGGCGTGTCGCCTGGAGCTGTCGTTACCAACGCCCCCTATCGGCCGCCACAGCTTTCTACCAGCGTATTGTATAACAACGTAAACATTTTGTTTTGCTTTACTCGTGGCAGCGGCCACCACGCTGAGTCATCTTATCCTTCGCGAAATTGGTCGATCATCTGCCACATTCTCAGCCTTCGTTTCAGTCCCATCAGCTCTGTCCACATCACCGAGCTCTTTCTTTGTTTTTGTGTGCTGGCGCTCGATTTAGCCAAAACTTTGCTATATCTTCTGTCCTTCTGTTTTTCGCCTTTTCACGCTCCTCTCCTTTTCTCCAGCGTTCTTATTTGCTTGTGTTGTTACCATATTTACCCCACGCATGACGTCATTACGTCACCAGACCTCCCTTCCCGCGGGAGCCAACGAGGCTTATTTCCGCCTATCCCGCTTACAATCAAGGCGCCTGGCCCGGGGGCTCATTAGCCAGACACCAGTCATTCTCCGCCTCCGGCCAGTCGGTTCCCAAGCCCGGGTCACACAGTGTGGTCGGCATAAACCAGCTCCGAGGCGTTCGGAATGCAGTCCATACGACTGCAGTGTTTTTGGGTACAATTGTGGAGACAATTTTAAGCGATGAATTTGTGACAGCTCAGCAATCACGGATAGGAGTATGCACATAAAACAAAACGTAGTTCCACTCTTCATTTATCGTTTGTTGTAAGAATGTCCTCGCGTTGTGTTTTACGTTATAATTTACTTAAGCGCTTAATGAATTAACTCGTTATGTATTAAAACACGACAAATTCTTGTCTTCATCTCTCCAAGACTGCTTTATTTCCTTCTTTAAAAAAATACACCGTCGCGCGGGCGGCCCCCGTGCACAACAGATCCTCCTTAACACTCCCCCCGACCCTGAATGACCCCTCTCGTCATTTGGAACATCACTTTTACATCCCCCGTGAGAACATCACTGCTCCATTTCCAGCGGATGATTTTGGTGACTGGCCTCTTGAATAGTCCCTTTGACGTCTTCACATCAACCACTCTGACCACGCAATCTGGTCCTGGATACGTCTTCTCGACTCGCGCCATCGGCCAGGTTCCTCGCGGCACATTGGGATCAATAAGCAGAACCACTTCTCCTTCGCGCAGTTTCCTCCTCCTCCTGACTTCAGTCCATTTCTATCGCGCTTGCAGAGTCGGCAGGTATTCACGTACCCAGCGACGCCAGAACTCTGTGCTAAGCTGCTGCAAACCGTCTCCAGCACTGTTGGAGGCTGCAAACCTATCTGTGCTCGTTCAAAGGTGTCATCTCAACTCTTGATCGGCCCGTGATGAATTCTCCCGGTGTCAGCGGCGGCAGGTCGCTTGGATCAGACGAGACAGCTGTCAATGGGCGGGTGTTGAGCAGTCCTTCAGCTCTGCAGAGCGCTGTGCTCAGCTCCCCATCGGCGAGATTTGCTCGTTCCAAAGTCTTCACCAGCGCCTTCTTGGCCACCTTGACCACGCTGCACACACTCCATTGAAATGGGGTGCGCCAGGAAGATTGAAGACCCACTTCGTGGGGTATTTCGAGAGCTCCCTTTGAATCGTATCGATGTTGAACCCATGAACTTCTCTCTTCAGTTCCTTAGCGGCCCTCAAAAAGTTTCACCCGTCGTCGGATCTGATCTCGGCTGGTCGACCTCGGCGCGAGATGAACCGCATTAGAGCGCGTATGAAGCTGGCGGTGTCCAGTGAGTAGGCCATCTCCAGATGCACAGCCTTGGGTTTGCAGGCAGACAAAAATGCAAAGGTAGCGCTTTTGTCGCGTCTTCCCTCGTCCCTGCTTTGTCCAGAATGGTCCGGCGTAGTCAACAGCACATCTGTCGAAGGTTCGGAGAGGAGACGGACGGAACGGGACGGACGGAGAGACGGACGGAGAGACGGACGGAGAGACGGACGGAGAGACGGACGGAGGAGACGGACGCACCCGTGCATCTATCATCGGCGCCATTTACTGTGTTTCTGCGCTTCTTCTGTAACCTCTGACACGTAACGCACCTGCGTGCGCAAGACTATAATCTCTCCTCGCTGCAGGAATCCAAAACCTCGTTATCAGCTCAGCTAGGGTGTTCTCTACGCCAAGTCCGTGTTCAGCTTCTCCATGGACATGCTGGATAACCAGCCTGCTAATGACGTGCTTTTTCGGCAGAAACATCGGGTGTTTGACTTCAAAACTTAGCTCTGATCGCTGCAGTCGGCCGCCGACCCGGATGGTCCCATCTCCATCTAAGAATGGGCTGAGCTGTTTCACAGTACTTCCGGCGGCATGCTCTCTGCGGTCGTGCGCCCGACATCTTCACTTGTCGAAGCTCCTCTATTTCATCTCGGAACGCATCCTTCTGCGCTTGTTGACCCAGATCTTCTCAGCTTTCCTTTAGTTCCCCTGGGTTCAGTTCTCTGTCCGGTGGAGAGGTGCTCGTTTGAGAGATCTTCCCGCGTAGAACTCTGATGAATCTCTGCACACAGGCTGTAACTCTCAACAGTCTTGTCCAGCTTGAGAAGTTTGCCGGGTTTAGCCGCCAGCTGGGACCCGACGGAGCTCGTACAGTAAACACATTATTCTGCTGGTCCTTCTTGATCTCAGACTGGTTGAACTCTTCTGTGGCGAATTCTTTCTTCCGTGGCCATCCGCTTTCGTCTCTCAGCAGGAACTTGGCTCCATGCCACCACAGCTGACCTCTCCGAAATATCCTTTAAAGTCAAGCCCCTGGTGGGTGCGTCCGCCGGCTTGTCTGACCCTGGCACGTGCTGCCACTCTTGGGTGTTGTCAGCATCATGAATCCCTGATGCCCTGTGAGCGACAAACGGCTGAAACGGCGATTTCATTTCGAATCTAGCATAGCACGTCCATCGAGTCAGACCAAAATTGCACGTCTTCAATTTCTTTCCCATTGCCGTGCACAGCGTCTTCACAAGTCTTAATCCCAGCAGTGCGCCCATCAGCTCCAGTCTTGGGATTGTCTGCTTCGTCGCTAGCGGCGCCACCCTCGCGCGTGCCAGCGCGAGCTGAGAGGATCGTTCGCTGCCACTTTCGGACACGACGTAGATGGCTGCGCCATATGCTTGTTCTGACGCGTCACAGAACACGCGAATCTCCTGAAGGGTGACCTCTGAGAAAGGATGAGTGCAGCGCGGCACCGAGAGACTGCTGAGCTGCTGCAGGTCGACAAACCACTCAGACCACTTCAGCTTCTGGTCGCCCGGCAGTATGTCATCCCAGTCTGCTCCGCTGATCCATGTCTGCTGAAACAGCATCTTTGGTCGAATGGTGAGTGGCACGAACAGGCCTAGTGGGTCGAAGACAGAAGCCATCTCCCTCAGACATGTCCTTTTGGTCAAGTTTTCAGACAGGATTTCTCGTTTTGACGTGTCTAGGGAGAGGCGGTCTTCATTTGTTGTCCAAACTACTCCAAGAGTCTTCGTCGGCACCGAGCCCCTGATCTTCAAAGAAGTGGCGCGAGCTGATAGCTCTATCCTCGACGGGGATCGCTTTC